CTCCCCGCGAACTCCGCACCCATACGTTACACTACATTTTACGTAAAATATTTCGTCGACTTCTGAGATATTTTTAATCGCATTCTCGACTACACCGCGTTAATTTACGCGTGTTTTTCTTTCAATCAAAGCGCATCTATACGAGTGTCAGTACTATAGTAAGCTCATATATGAGCTGTGGTGCTCATTAGGATGCTCGAAGCGTCCTAATGACGCCTCCAAGAGCAAGATGCTGCAGCGGGAAGTCAAGACGACAGACTACGTTGAACTTTGACGCGGCAAGATTCGTCGCGCGCGTTTCTCCAAAGCGGAATTCTTGCGCGAGCCGCGCCCGATGCCGCGAATCATTATTTCGGATTCACATTCAAGGTAGCGCGGGTTAATTGGCCAATAAGTATCGTTCGTAAGCATCATCCTAACGAGATTCCTCGTTGCGCGCGACAACGATTCGCGTTTCCCGGCAAGAAACCTTGACGCAACACCCGACAACACCGGTAGTCTGCCAGCATCAGCGGCCGATGCAGCAGAATGGAAGTTAATTGGATAATTAGTGTCGTTAATAAGCAAGGTTTAATTGAACTTTTTTCCTCTCCTCCTTTCCGTCGTCGTAGCGAGTGGTTTGCGCGGTTCCTAAAGGAGACAGGGAACTAACTACCCGGGGTGGTAGACATTGTAGACTTTAGCGGCGCGATTTTTTTCCCCTCTACAACTCGTCGTCGTCGTCTCCTCTTCGTGTAAATTCGCAGAGCTAAGGGGGACTCGATAAAACGACTGTGCCGCTTTTTCCTCCTTTCTTTTCTCTATTCCTTTTTTTTTTTTCTTCCCCGCCGGAGACTTAGCCGTGAATGAGAGGGAGAAAGAAAGAGAGTGCCGGATCGTCGGTAATTCCGTCCAATTAGGACACTCCCAATTAGGAAACCCCTTAACCCCGCGCCATCCCGCGCGTTCGACCCCGTGGCGCTGCCCGACCTCCCCGGCTCTACTGCGGAGGACTTGCGACAGATCGCCTTCGTCGAATCTTCGCCAGAGTATCGGAGAAACTTGGTTCACTCAGCGAGTCCGATTCTCCCGATCGTTCTCGCTTTCGCGGAGATGCTTTAACGGTATCACGACTTAAGTGCTCGTTTCGAGTTCATTTCATTTGATTCTTGTACTTTATATTCCGACGCGCGATTTAACCGTGCCTTTCGGGTAACCCTCCACCGCGCAGACGAGCCGTCCGTTTCACCCACGTAGACATCGCGAAACCACAAACACATATGCACAGTTTTTTTAGAGTAAATCACGTTTCAGCGCGCCTCAGCGAGCAAAATCAGCAACGCCCGATAGGCCTGTCCTTTTTAGCCGAATCAGTGCTTTATTAGAACTGCACTCTTTTGCCTTGCAGCATCAGGTTTCACTTGTCTCACTCCATGAACAATAAGTGCAACCTGTTTCAGCTGAAAGAACAGACCTAACCCAATCGGTCTAGAGTAGGCAAGGTGATACTGAGCGAGCGGCGTTGCTGCCTTGTTTGTTGCAGGACGCTGAGATCGAGAAGGCGCGACTGCCGGTGATCGGCTCGGGCCTGTCAAGCGGTCACAACAGCAACTCGTCGTCCACCGACAGCTTGCTGTCGTTGCTGATCCCGGCGCCGTTGCGCGAGACCCTCTGGGCAACGGTGGCCCTGTACCTAGGCTGGAGACTCGTCTCCCGCCTACGATAGACGCACCGGTCTCGCCCAGCCGTCGTCCCGGATGACACCGGCGGTCCTGCGGCCCGATTAAGCGGCCGTGTCGGCACCCGGCACAACACGGCGTTTGGGAACTGTTAGAGGCGGCGGACCGCATGGACCGCCAGTAAAACTACCGACTCCTACCCGGGATGATCCCCGGAATTCTCGATCGAACGCATCGGACGTCGCCGAGAGAAGGATGGGATCTACAGCCCGGATCTCTCTTCGTGATCGAACGGCGGATTTCATCGAGATAGAGGTAGAGAAAGAAAGAGAGAGGAGGAGAGAGAGAGAGAGAGAGAGAGAGAGAGAGAGAGAGTGAAAGAGAGAAAGAGCGAGAGAAAGAAAGCAAGAACGCGCGCGCGTCGAGGATCACGAGCCATCTCTCGTTCGAGCATCCACTCGGATTGTATTTTGTATAATCGTTTTTTGTATCGTCGCGCGGCTCGTCCGCTACGCCACCGCGAGAATGCGCTTGGTCAATTTTGATTGATTCCCGAGGGACCGTCTCATTGTTTAATATGATGAAAGAAATTACAAAGTATCGGCACGTCAATTATAATGATTATGGTGACGATATGATCCGCACGAGTAATGATGAGCCGATAAATCGAAAGTTGTTCTCCCTGTTGAATGCGTTCCCTCGGGTGGGTTCGTGAAATTTATGCAAGAGAAAAGAGCAAGATTTTTATTAAAGAAAAAAATAATAATAAAGAAAATAAAGAATGTCAAGGTGTGTGCAAAAGAATGTCATCACCGTTTCGCAGTGGACACTCGCGATTCGTCGGTTCGCCGCGGACAAGTTCCGACTGTGATCGTCGCGCGAATGACGAAGCGAGGGTGGCTAGCGACACGGCGGAGTCCACCGGGTGCATTCTCATGCGGGGTGCGAGAGGCGAACGGGCGGACAGGAATTATCTCGAACGTGTGGATCGCCGTTCGTGGCGATAGTTCGCCCCGCGGGATGAACTTTGTAGGTGTGTAGGAGGCCGAAGGGGCGGGATTATAGTTTTAGGGGAGATAGCCCCCGACGCGCGGGGTAAGGTAGGGGGGAGGGGCGGGGCGGGGGGCGGAAGGACCAGAGTAACCGAATTGCGTATTGCGCGGCGATCGGACCGAGACACGAGGAGGAAGAGGTATTATTTAGGAGTGACGGGGGGAGCTAAGGACGAGATCCAAAGAGGATTAAACCCAATAATCAAATGATGATCTCATTACGAATAAATAAAGAGAATTAAATAAAGTAGTGTGATTACGGGAACGAGAGAAGGGCGGACCACCCACGCAGGCCCCTTTTATATTCTCCGTCTTCTCTTCGCGCGTCCGTCCCTCTCTTGGTCTTGCCGGTAGAGAAAACGAGAAAGAGAGAGAGAGACCCTTCGATGTGTGCGGCTTGTTGTAGATAACGCGGTCTCTCCCGGTCGACGTGGTGGGCCGAGCGGGATTTTTTTTAACGACGTCGCCCCGCGACGTTTCGCGAGGTACGTTTTTCGTCAGGGAGGCACTTGGTCGGGGAAGGATTGAGAGAGCGAAAGAGAGAGAGAGAGAGAGAGAGAGAGAGAGAGAAAGAGAGAGAGACGCGTTGGATGATATCGCGCGCTGGAGAGAAGAGGGACTCGATGAGGGACCGAGGAGTCGTCGCTAGACGGCCGATCGAACCTCGCAAGACGTCGCTACGGCGCTGGCGAGATATATGTATATATAAAGAAAGAGAGAGAGAGACGTCGGGTGTGACGTGTATTCCAAAAATGTTAAGAAATGATATAAGGAGGTGAGACGCGAGAGCGAGGACGTGCAAGGTGGTGGAGACGGATAGGGGAGCAACCTGCGTGTACGTGCGTTTGTGCATGCACGTGTGTGTATGTATGGACGGGTGCGTGCGTGCGTGTGTATATGTGCATGTGTCTATGTGCGTGTATGCGTGTGTATAGAGGATTTATCTAAAGTAATTACGCAAACACTCAGTAATAAGTCAACGTGTTAATAGTTAAAGTAGATAATCGATAGGCCGAGGATCGCGGCATCTTAATTGGCTAGCTGCGAGTCCCGTGGACAGTTTTCAAATGATCTCCGGTAGCTTAGCTATTAGTGGTGGCCCTGGTCGCATGCAGGACGCCTTTCGCGGCACATCGGAAGGAGCACCTCCCTCTTTCCCCTGTGTCCTTTCTAATAACTTGTCTATATATCTCCATACTTCTCTCTCTTTCTCTCCTTCTTTCCTTCGCCCTTTTTCCCGCCTGTCGACGAACCGTTTCTCGTCTCACTCACACACACACTCTCTCTTTCTCTCTCTCTACTCGCTATTCTCGTTCTTCCGCGCGATTCCCTCCGCATATATCGCGTCACCGCTTCGCAATTCCGCTTCACGTTTATCGACGACGTCGAGGACGATGGTCTCTTCGCCGTCGCTCTGTGTTTGCGCACGACCTAACGTAATCTCCGATCTCGAACTTGGCGCGTATCTCGGCCGGTGCTCGGTCTCTTCTCGGTGTTGTTTCGCATTCGTTTGCGCGATCCAGAGGGTCTCAATTTTTCGCGAGATCGCGAGTCTCGCGAATTTTCTTAGGGCTTTCTCTACAGCGCGGGAACGGTGGATGCGGGTGGTTGTGTGGCCCGGTGAGCGACGGAGGAATGTGAAACGCGTATCCTCGGGCTTTCTCGTTCGGTCGCAGGCTGAGACCAAAACTATCGAGGCTGCTGTGTTGTTGCACATTCGTCCCTGCGCTTTCCCCTCGTCCCGATTGCAGTCTATCGCGTTTTCCCTTTGTCTCCCTATTGATAGGATCGTGACGTACTCCGTTGTCGAGGTATTCCAGTGTGTAGGACCATAGTATTTATTTATAGGCGATACACACACACACACATACACATATGCATACACACATACGAACAAACATACATATACAGAGATTTTTCTCTCTACTATCTGGTAGGGCCGCGTCTCGGGGTAAATGTACGCTACGCGGTTGCGAGATATATTACCGTCACCTCGAGATAAGCGACTTCTCGCCAGACGCTTCCGCGGGAGCGGCTTTTTGGAAAGTCAATAAACGTCAGTGTGTCCGTATAACGCGCGAAAGTAATCTCTAAAGACGCGAGTAGATAGAGTGATGTTTTCTCCTCTCATGGAAAGGAAGAAAAGAGAGAGAGAAAGAGGGAGAGGAAGAAGGAGAGGCGGAACCGTTCGAACAGCGAAACGCAGGTGTTCGCGACGCGCCGTTCTGATCTCGACGCGCGGATTTTTAGATTTATCGTGTGTTTCTCATTGTATGTCGCTACATTCTGTCGTGTTTCTCGCGAGCCACCGCTCATCAGGAACTCAGATCTATTCCCGCGGAACGTGGACCACCCCGTCGGATCCGTCGGAGTTGTATTTCGAACGCACCGTTATTTAGCGAAATTAAACTAATTTCCATTATTTTTTCGAGCGACTTTACGCGCGGAGATTTGGAGAGTAAAATTAATTTTTAATTATGATAATGATAATATTATTTTTGAGAAAAAAAAACTTTTTCACAGAGATATCGTGAGAGATTTTAAAACACGCGTTGCAAGATTCTAATTTCGCCGAGGAGCCGCCGAGCACTCGCAATTTTACGCCAATTCGTCTCTCGAAATCGGCACGTGAAAATTGCCGGAGTTAATTCGCGCCTCGTCGGCAGCTCGCACGAGCTGTTAAGAATTGTCGATAGCCGTATCGCGACAAACGTGGAAGTCGTCGACTCGGATTCGACGGCGCGAAGCGTCCCGTTCCCGCCAGTAGAATCTTCGATCTAGCTCAGGTCGAGTTCCCTCTGTGCCGCTTGCTCCTTTCATGGAGAGAGCACGCAATGGTACAAGATTATCGTGTATACATATTGATATGATAAGTAGTGTTCGTCTGTCGTCTGTCGAGGGCCACGAGAGCCGAGAAGCACCTCTTTCTCGTGGTGGTTGTTGCATTCCGACCAAAAGGGAACCAAAATTCCCGTTTTCCTGCAGCGCGGCGAATTCGAGACGGCCTAAAGGGTCGTGGCCACGCATTTAATCCTCTTACTCCGTAGATAGGGAAAAAGGGCACCAGCGAATTCGCGAGCCCCCGTTTCCCCTCCCCCTCTCGCCGTTTGGCCTGGCGAGGGAGGAGTGTTGATGAAACAGGAAAAAGACAGGAATATATATATATATATATGCATGTGTATGTACGTATGAAGGAAAATTGAAAGTGAGAAAACAAGGCGCATGTACATAGTCGCTTCTTTCGGGGACCGTAAACGCACTAACGCACTACGGTTTCTCTTTTCCCGGTATTCTCTATTTCTATTTTTTTTTTACCTTCTTTGTTCGTTCATTCGTTTTTCTGTTTTTTTTTACAGTTAATTACCAGCTAGAAACGGTACACTCTGTAGAAGCACTTTTAGATAGTAGTCAGCCATATGGAAAAATATAATAATTATATATGGATAAACATATATATATATATATATATAATGGAAGACGCGTATATATATATATATATGAAAGAAGTATATATATATATATATATATATATATATATTTTAAATGGTATATTTGGGATAATCGAAATATTGTTTCGAGAGATGATAACCCGTTTTGTGTGTGTATGTGTGTGTGTATGTGTGCGCGGAGAGTCATATATTTCGATGGGGCGCGAACCCCCGAGAGAAAGTATAGCGGGGAGGGTGGTGTTTATGGTGGAGTTGGAGAAATGGCGGTTCTTCGAGATCGATGGAGGTCGAAGGACGTAGGTCCAAGGTGAGAAATAAGCTGTAACTGTGACTATGTGGATCGTGGGGGGCAGGCTGTCGATTTGCTGTCGCTCGTCGAGGGCCACACCGAGATCAATTTCACGCGCGCCCCCTAAACAAGGAGCGGACGGGGGAAGAGAAGTAAGCGCGCGACGGGCTGTGTGTATTCCACGAGAGCCGGTCTCTTTGCGTATCACTAAAGATCTCGCGCGGCACACGCGCACCCTACTCGCCGCACCCTATCGAACCCGATTTGTGCGGCGAGAGGACAGAAAGAATAGGAAAGGAACAAACATGGAATCAAACGGCAGAGACAGCCCGCCCACCCGAGATCCCCGCGCGTCAAAGCGTCACTGTGATCTCGTAATTATTAATAAAATATCCGATTATAATAACGAAGTAATTATACGAATATTATATAATATTGCCCCCTTTCCCCCCCCCCCTCCTCTCATTATGAGCAGGAATATAAAAATCTCCCCTCCCGGGGACACGATCCAATGTACTCTCGCTAATGTGCGAAATCATGGTTTTGCGTCTCTCTCGTCGGATTTCTTTCGTCCTGTTTTGTTCTACGCGGTACGTTCTCTCTTAGTGCATCCTTCTTTCTATCTCTCCTTTGCATTCTCTCTTCTGAATCCCCTCTCTCGTAATACGTGTTCGCGAGCGCGTGCATGCGCGCATCCTAGTTCGTAATCGTAACGTTAATAACCTTATCTTATTAATGAATCTTTCATATGATCTCCCGGAGGTATCGATTGTGTCAGGCGAGTCCAAATGGCCGATGCCGTTCGTTTCCGCCCATCCGCACGCACGAGAAGTCGTCGTCTCTCCTTCTGCTATCTCTCGATTTTCCTCTTGACATTTTCTTTCCTTTTTCATTTCATTCACCACGGCTACTGTCAGAACGGACGGTGTCGGCGATCGATTGGCCGTATACCTCAGTTAAATAAAGTATAGGATTGTAAAGCAATTGAAGAGAGAAGAAAGAAAAAGAGAGAAAGAGAGAGAGAGAAAGGGAGAAACATTTATTCAGAAGAGAAGACGAGGGATAACGACGTTGTTGTAGCAATCTTACTCAAATAGATAGGTTTATAACAACGAAAACTGTTTATCGCAGCGTTCGCACTCATTAATCACCTACGACGTACTATTACGATCCATCGCGATCGTTATTATTATCAACGATTATTATTTTTATTTTTATTACTATCATATTATATTATTAGTTAGTACATACTCGTCGCGCGCATCCAGTGTAAAGGCTCGAGTTCTTAAACTCCCCGGCGCTGTAAAGAGATAATCGACTAGTCTTATCGGACCAACCATTGAGATTTGTATTTTTGTTTAACGACGCGTATTTTCTAAGAGAGATCGAGATTTTTCCCCCTCTACATACATAATATACATACACATATTATATATATATATATATATATATATATATAAATATATATATACACCCACGCATATATATATATATATTTGCGAAAATATATGTATATGTACTTTTTGTTTTTTTTTTTAAATAATATCGATCAGTCTCCCTCCTTCCTCCTCAGAGGCGCTTTTCTCTCGCCTCTTCTGTAATCGCGATCCCGAGATATCGGAAGTTCGAGCCGGGCATCGGGGACGACGTTTCCGTTGAATTCGCCCGCGCGTTCCCGTTCACCCTATCTCGCCGAGACTCTCCCGCGGGATATCGCACGGAGCGAGCAACGTGTGCGAGCGGGCGAACGGCGGAGCGAGTGAGTGTCGCCCTCGATCGAGGCGCCCGTGTCATTGTAAGACCACTTCTACCAGTAATAAATTATTGTAGTACGCCGTAACGCGCACAGGAGATACTTGATCTTTTCAGCAGTATTTCAACCGGGGCGGGCCGCGTCCTCGCGCCAGGGACACCCTCGCGAGTCGACGACGATCGGTCGACTCGCGCTGCGATCTTTTCGCGTCGAGCGAGCGAGCGAGCGAGCGAGAGCGAACGAGTGAACGAGCGGGCGAGCCCCGGTTCAAATAGCACGTAAATTTTCGCATGTATTGAAAGCAGAGCTCGTCGTACATGTGTACGCAGCATCACATATTACATATATGCTGACATGTATACATGTATATACACTCGTCACACAACACCCATGCATACATCCACACATACAGACACACATACACACGATTCACACGCGAAAGCATACCCTTGCCCTTTAATACTATTGTAATCGTCTAAGATCTTAACGAGAAATTTCATTTGCTCAGACTGTATAAGTTTGCCATAAAATGACTGTTGTACGTTCTTCGGATGTGTACTACTACTCGTGTCTAGAAGTAAGGGAACCTTCGCGCGATTACTCTGTCGCTCCAGCCACAGTCAGGTGCCAACCATCGCCCACGGTTTTCGCGTTTTTTCTCCGTAAGATAGCCGGCTAGGTCGATCGTTTTGTCGCCGTGCCACTCGGAAAGCCCGCTTTTCCCGAGGTCACCCGAGAACGACTCGCTCCCGCGCCCACCTCGTCCTCGAAATCGCGACTCGCGCCGTCACTATTTATTCCGTTTACTTCTACACTGTAATTCTGTTACACACGAAAAAAACTTTGGAAAATATATAATATACATGCAGATATTGACCGCCTCTAATTCTCGTTGAATCCTTCTCTCTTTCTTAAGAGAGCGTCTTTCACGTCGCTCTCGAATAATTTGCACGATCTACGCGAAAAGAGCAAGGACAAGCCGGGGGCAAAGTGAGCGAGGGGCGAACGAGTCGCACTCGGTGGGCCGCCTTCGCCTGTATTCCTTCGCTGTGTAATCTTTCGTGCTCCACTTAAAGTAGCGAGAAGCTCGTAAACTCTGAATGCCTACGAAATGCGTTACTCGTAGCCAAATGTCCCGTGGACCATACAGACCGCCGAGATCTATTCGTTATTCCAGCGCAAAAAAGAAAATGGAGTCAGAGATGGGTCGATCGATCAGAGAGAGAGGGAGAGAGAGAGAAAGAGAGAGAGAGAGAGAGAGAAAGAGAGAGAGAGAGAGAAAGAGAGAGAGCAAGAGCGAGAAGGTTCGGATCAACCGAGAATGCGTATGTTCGAATAAGAGGAGAGTAAAACGAATAAAGTGAATAAAGTGAACGAGAGGTAGTATTCGTTATCCGAGATAACGGAAGATAGAAATTTTGAGACCGCCGCAATTTCCCTTTCTTATAGGTTTCTCAAGTCGTATGTAAAGCTCGCAGCTGCCTTGTGATAGAGTCTGGACTGCAAATAAATTCCGACACGTGCGTGACGTGTCGGGAAAGAGAAAGAGAGGTAGAGAGGAGGTGAAATCAGTAAGACGATTATAAAGAACATAACTGTCGCAGGGATCACGACCTGTGTGCACGATTACAAAGACAAAAAAAAAGAGAAAGGAAGCAAAGCACAGTAAAGAGACAATACAACTTGTCGATCAATTTTCGTCCAGCTGACCAATCCAAAGAAGCGACCAAATAAATGAGGAGAGAAATGATGCGAGCGCTTGCACGACGCTTGAGGTGCTTTCCTTTTTCCTTCTTCTTTCTATCGATGTATGTGAGGTAGAAAAAGAGAGAATGTATGTATGTATGTGTGTGTGTGTATACGTGTGCACGCGCGCGACTTATCTTCGATTTTTCCTTCCTTTGAAGACGTACATGTATATCTTTCGTTTTACTTCTCGACTCTCCCGACGCGAGTGATTGGACGGAAGATGTACGGCGGTCACGTGATATATTATACAAGTATATATATATATATAGTATTATGTAATAATAATCTCCTCCTTAGTGCGCAGATTTAAGCAAAAGAGAGCGGTACTGTTATTTGTTTTTTTTTTTCCTTTTATTTTGTCTCTCTATCTCCTCTCTGTCAATCTCGACCTTTTCCATTCTTTCGTAACGACCCACTTCTCTCTCTCTCTTTCTTTCTCTCTCCCCCTCCCCTCTTTCGTCACCCTTCGCGTCATTTTCACTTCGACTTTTTCTCTCTCTCTTCTCTCCTCCCTTTCTTTCTTGCTTCTCGTCTCGCCTCCAATTAAGATTCGGCTTAAGACGCGAATTGCGTCGCTCTCCGAGCGGCCCGGGAGTGCTCTTGAGGCGCGTAGGAGAGCAAGCAGAGGTCCCGAGCGCTCTCTCTCTCTCCTCCTGTCTCCCCGTTTCCTCCCGTCTTCTAGGGCGGGAGCAGCGACTGCAGTCGGGGTCGCCGCGTAATCCGCGTGAGAGTGCGGGGACTCTTTCGCTTTCAAATCTCTTCGTTTCTCCGACCTTCCGTCTCTCCCTCTTGCTTTGCTCCTCCTCCACTTCTTCGTCTTCTCGCGCCCTCCTCTTCTCTCCTCTCTCTCTTTTTCTCTCTCTTTCTCTTTCTCTCTCTCTCTCTCTCTCTCTCTCCCCTTCGCGTTCTATCCAAGTTACTTTTATAACCGAACATATGGTCGCGCGATCGTCGGTACGTGCCTCGGCTCCTCTCGCGAAATCGCTCGCTCGAGGGTCGCTCCCGATTATCTCGAGCGGATTGAAGAGAGCGATGAGCGACTATATGTGAAAGAAGAGAAAGAGAGAGAAAGAAAAAAAAAAAAGAGCAGCCGACGCGTGCCTGACGCGCGCGAACCTAATCATACGATGCTGTGTTATTTAAGTCACTATAGGCAGTGCGTTATTGATTACTTTTGATTTTAGTTTATGACAATTTTTCATGTTATTAATTTTATTGAGTATGATTTTAAGAGTACTATATGCGCGAACGTGTATAATTATTATCTATTATATCTACTATTAAGAATTTTTATTATTATTATCACCCCGAATTTTTTATTAGTGTCATTATTATTGTATTGTATTACCGCTGAAACTGTCTGATAGGTCTGTTCGGTTGATTATCGACGATGTGTTAAGAGCGTTATCGAGCGATCACCTTTCCGTTCCGACGAGATTCGTGAGATACTTGAGGGGGTTCCGACACACAGATTACTACGTTTATATCACTTCTTTTTTTTTTCTAATACTGCTCTAATAGCATTATTCTTATTATTATTACAGCGTAATTATTATTATTACTATTATTATTATTATTATTATTATTGTAATCATGTAACATTTTATCTTTTTGTAATTATTACCACACCCCGTGGTCGATTTTACTTTTTTACGAATCGTTCTCGCGTCCGTTGCCCGACCGCCGGTCGACGGGGCGCCTTAAATGCCGTTGCAACGAGCCGACCTTTATGCACACTTCCCTCTTTTTTTGTCTCTCTGTTCTTATCCTTCGACGCGCTCGTTTTTCTCGTGACACGGCGCCTACGGGGCGTGACGTCGGCCAACGGGGGTGCGCAAAGGGACGGGGGCATCTCTCCGCTACCCGCATGTCTTTCATATATTGTACAGATTTTTTCACTTTTATATAGTTATCGATATATCGTAACGTTACGCAACGTTAATCGCGACGGCAGCCGCTACGCGTCGCCGTACCATTATTGTACGTTTTGATTTTTTTTTATTGAATAAATGTGAACACGCCGAAAGAGAGCATTTAATATGTGTGTCTTGATTTCGCATATCCCCAATCCCTATCACACACACACGCTCACGCGCGCCTCTCTTCGACCTGCAGTTGGACTTACGTCTCTCTCTCTCATCGCAGGTAAGTTCTTTACGCTGTGTTGCGTTACATTTTTTCACTGAGTCGCATTTTGATTCTACTTTTGACCTCGATTTAACGTCTGCTATGATACTCTTTGAAGTTCGTGTCAACCTCTTTTGATTCTATTCGGAACCCACCAGCTTTGCCGGGAGATTCTTTTTGGAACCTGTCAGTGATGCTTCGCGTTTTCTATCATTTGGGGCGCTGAGTAGGACTTCAGTTTCCATTTGTGTTAAAGATACGCGAATCTTTCAGAATATACAGACATTGGAAAGCTCAGGTCAAAAGTGGGACTAAAATTTCGCCTTGGGACTTGGTAAGAAAATAACCTGGTGAAGGATATATACTTGGAGTTCACATCACTTAGAATTTTATTGGCGCAGCAATAAGATGAGGAACATCACGGTCGAGGGATCATTTCGATATTTGGTGAATTGTTGAAAAAGAACAACGTGCAGAGCAACGTGCGCGTCACACCTAACAAACAAAGTGGGCGCGATCGGCCGACACCGATTCTCTCGTATCGATCCATGCGCAGAGATTGGTCACGGTGTTTAGAATCATTCTAATGGGTTTCCTGAGACGTGCCATCTGCGGGGCTCATTACTAAGGGACGCGACCGCAAACCAATCGAGCGTCGTGCCCGCTCTATTCAGTGTTCTGAATCTAATGCGAACCGCAAGACGCCGGTGTGTTCCTGATGCCGGATTAGAACGTGGAAATTACTTCGTAACTGCCGACGTGGACGCGACACGACGCAACGGTACAGTCGGAAAATTGAGATATTGACGGCCGACCAGAGCCTCAATCGATATGCGCTCGCTTGCCTTTTATTATCGCGCCGTACACTTCAACGCGACCCGCCAAGTAAGAAAATTGCTACGGCGCTGTGTGTTGCGTTCGTAAAAAACTTTTCACAATAACGAGTGCGCGCGCGCGCACGAGATGATCCGCGTTTCTCGCGCCATGTGTCGGGCAGTTCTCTGCTCTTCGGTTATTTCCAGCCTCATTTTTGTTGCGGTTTTCGCTCGCGGCGCGTTTCCCCGCGGATTAACTCGATCCGAAACAACAGCGAACGAGAGAGCAAGAGAGAGAAAGAGAGAAAGAGAGTGCGAGCGCGCCCGCATTTCCAACGTGTTACTGGAAAAAGATGACCAGGGGGATACACGGTGATGCGCGATGGAGAACACTTGCGACGCCTCACTATGTTTTTAATAACGTCCCGGGACACGCAGATGCGGAATAAAATGGGAAAACGGCCGGCGATTGCACCGTGTGGAAACTAGTGATCAATGTGAAACAATAGGTTTAACCGAACACGCGCCAACTATACATCGATTATTCCGCGTGAATTCTCTCCCGCTCAAAAAAAAAAAAAAAAAAATCACATTGCATCCGCG